TAAAGATCAGTTCAGTCAATTGCAACCAGACAAAACTGGCTATCATCTGGCAATCTCAATGTCAGCATTTGCTAAATCCTATGAAGACTGTACTAAAGTAGTATCCTGTCTATGTTTTTGGACATATGTTATCAGAAAGGTGGAAACAACTCATTCCTGAAAAAAAATAGTCCTGAATTTGGAGGTAGAAAATGGAGGTAAGGAAAGCCTGAGAGAGAAATATCAAGTATGACTGCTGTTGGAAAAGGAAGGTAGGACAATACTGAGTACTGGAACACTGGATCTTCCAGTGCCCGTCTGCCCAGTAACATCTTTAAGGAAAAGGCAAAGAGGTTTCTTCACAAAGCTCTACAGTGTGGGAATTGATAATGTGGAGTGTCAGGGTACAAGAAACCTATTTCATGACTTAGCTTTTGTTGGATGGTCTTCAGCATACAGCAAAACTTTGGGGAAGGCATCTGAATCGCAAATGAAGTTGGTCCAGTCAACTTGAGGTAAAAGCAGACAAGGGGGTAGGTGAAAGTTAGCTCAGACAGAAAAGTCTTCAGTTGTACATGCTGACTCCATGCTGTGGGGATGGACTCACTGGAGATGCAGAGATTATTCTGACAGCTACTGAGTTTACAGGGGTTTAGGAGCTTTTTCTGCCCAACATGCACAGGCTGTCAGAGATGGAGTGTGGGGTAATATCCAGAGCGCTGATGGGCAATCGTTTTGAAGCAGACTCGTATTCTGGAGCCTGGCAGCCTGCATACCCTCCTGCCCCAAGTCAGAAGTCGGACGCTCTCAGGGCATTTTATATTTAGGACAGCACAAAGACTGTCACAGAATCCAGGCTGTAATCCTGATTTAAGGAAGTAAATGTTTCTAGTGTAGCACTGTAAATTGCCAGTAGATGGCATAATGATTCCATGCTACCATAAATTTAAAAAAAAAAAAAATTAAGCACGGAAGGAAATACGCTGCACAATTTTTGTTAATTCTGTGCTGTAAATTGCCAGTAGATGGCATAATGATTCCATGCTACCATAAATTTAAAAAAAAAAAAAAATTAAGCACGGAAGGAAATACGCTGCACAATTTTTGTTAATTCTGTGTTTAATCATAGCAAAGCTCCTTGTGAAGGAAAGAGCTCAGGAAATGAGTTAACTGGCTGTGGCCTTTCACAGTACCTTTTTGCTGAATTCTTCCATCTCCCTTCAGTTCGTGTATTCTCATACATCCGCTTGCTTGGGTGGGTGTTTTGATTTCTTCTCACCTCTACTTAGTTTCTCAAAAGAAAAAAAAAAATACAGGATGTAGATATGAGTATTCTGATGCAGATCTAATTCTTATTTATTTTTCGTATCAGCCAGGTCTGTGTCTTTGCTTCCACTGAACATTTGTGAACCAGCACTGCTCACCCGATGCACTGGGTGTTACCTGTGTACCTATACTGGGGGCCTGGCTCAAAGACTGCAGTGGGATTAGAGGCAGATGGCTGAAGCTGCTCCCTGCTTGTCTGCTGAATGTCAACAGCGCAGCGTATCGCTGCCTGGATCTCACAAAAAACAGACTGTGGGCTGCTGTTGTTTGCGGTCCAGTGTATTAAAGAAAACTGGTATCAATGGCAGGATCATATACTTTTTCAGAAGTAAAATATTTAAATACTGGCATAATCAGCTTTACAGAAAGAGAAGGTTTTGGAGCAATTGCACTGAGATGTTCAATGGTGAATTAAAGTTTATGAAAATGCTTTACTAGTAGTGAACTATGCAAACAGTGTATATAGCAAGCTTTGCTAGCGTTCAGACCATGAAAAGGATTCAGCACAAAAATAAGTTCTGCTTCATTTTTGTAAATTCTGTTTACCCTCAGGGAAAAAAAAAACCCTCTCTTGCTACTTAAAGAGTATCCACCAGTACCACGGACTACATGATTCTCTGTGAATAGCTATGATGCTCATGGATTTTGATGTTGCATTCAGAGAGCCAAGGGGGATTTAATGGGTCTCCTCTGCTTTTTTCGGTTTGTACATGAAACCTAAACTGACAGGAATCTGGAGATACGGATTTCAGTGTTATCAGTGTAATGGCATTACATTAGTCTAGACCTCCTCTTTGTTCAACCCATTAGGGACTGTCAGCTCTCATCCATCTGGCTGACAGTTCTGTAGCATTAGCGACAGCTGGTTGAAATAATTCAGACAACACCGAGAATTTGCTTGTGAGCAGGGTAGAACTTTTCAGAAACTTGCCAGTTTCTATGTAGCTGTTACCCAGGGAGCGAATCCATCAGTGAAGAGACAGCTATAAAACATGGAGGTCATCCTTGATTGCACTTTCAGGAGGTTGATGGAATTGTTCGGTTGTTTCAATTGAACCGAGATCGTTGCTTGGCAGTTTTATCTGTCTTTTTGATCAGGGATTCATTCAACATCAAGCTGCAGACACAACTTTGCTAAATTCCTTTCAGAAAAAAACAGGTAGCGACTCCCAGATGATGTACTAAGAAAATGAGTTGGTTATATTTGATTATATTTTCATAAATTTATACCTGGACATTTTTATGTCTTTGTTTCCATTTGTACTGCTTCTGTTTCAGGTTTTGTTCTTTTTACCTGGAAGGCAAACACCCACAGCAGGATATCAAAACTCACAAATAGCATTGTGCAATCCACTCAAATGAGATGCTGTTATAGCTACAGTCTTAATCAAAAAGGCAGTAATCAGCCAAATTATTTTCTCGGTTGTGTACACTTAAAAATGTGGTAACTGATTTATCTGTTTGTATGAAATAGAGCTATTAATATGTAAAGAAGTTACACAGTGTAAGAACAATTGAAGCTTTATTTTCTTTGGGTTCACAAGGCTTTAAACCAAGCAACTGTATTATCAAGGTTATAAAAATAAATTCTTTGTTTGATGAAATCCTTAAAAATGGAGGGCATGTCCGTTCTATGTGGCTTGGCAGCATCCTAATACAGTTCCTTGAGGATATTTTAAAAAGAAATAATAAATAAATACAATTTTTACACTAATGGCATATGAAAACTAGTAACATGAGATGTGACTATGAAGACTATGTCTTTCGATGGTGTTATACTGGAAACACTGCGTTATGTCTCTGGCTTTAACGTAAATCCTACTATTTAGTGATTCTGTTGTCAAGTACCTGCTTCATTGACAAAAACTGAAAAAAGTGATGCTCAAAGTTATTCAGTTCAGAGAAGCTACTTTCTAACTCTTTAGTTCCAGTATTCTTAAGCTTCTACGCCTGTGTAGCCACAACATGACAATGAATATGTATGACATAACAGGACATGCTGTGTAAAGGGAAAATAGGGGTAAGGAATGTATTACAGCCCTCTTGGTTTCTCCTGTAACTCTGTGCCTGCTCACTAAGAAACAGCTTTTTGTACTACTGTACTGTCAACGAGTTCTAGTTATTCATCAGAAACAAACAGCAGCACTATAAATCATTGGTTTAAGGAAGGCACTTTAGGCCTGATGTAACGACCAATTTTTTTCTTTTGTAAGCTTTTTTGTGACTTTTTCCTAGAAAAAGCTTGATTATTATTCTTTGCATAATAACTATTAGGATTTAACTTTAATTAATTCTAACTTAAAAGTCTTAATTCTAAATGGATCCAACTGTTGCCAAGGAAAACACATCCACTTCTTAGGCATTCATGTTCTTCGCGTTTGCATTTGTGCCCTTCCACATTTTAAGTAGCAAATTATCCTGTTTTTCCTCACAAACTGAAAAACAGAGGAGCCCTCCCTACTGCCCTTCCAACACCCACTCCCGTTTCTCACCTTGGGAGTAGCAAATCATTGAAAAATTGTGTATGGGGACAGATTATCCAGGTTGCAAGTTAGCGGTGCCAGAGTCAGACCGAGCTCCGCAAAACATTTTTAGCGACTGTGCTGCTTTCAGGGCCCCAGAGCGCCAGCTACAAGGTCTGAAAGATGTCCGCCAACAGCCAGCCCT